TGCCTTTAACAGCACTTAAGGGTAAATAAATTAAAATGTTATGTTAATTAAGACTCAATGATGTTGCCTTTAATATTACTTAAGAATAAAAAAATGGAGATGTAATGTCAATTAAGACTTAATGATGTTGTATTTGACAGCACTTAAGGGTAAAGAAATTAAAATGTTATGTTAATCAAGACTCAATGATGTTGCTTTTAACAGTACTTAAAAGTTAAGAAAGTGATGTTATATTAAACATTATATTATATTATTATTTATAGAAAAATGTTACATTTAATTGATACGCTTACAATATAAAATCGGTTACTTTGGTAAAGAGAAACATAACATGGTGATATTTGAATCCCCCATTCGAAACTGAAACAACTATTAACCATAGATTATTCATTTCAACTTTTTTTTCTCCCCAATTTCTCAGGGACATCATTTGGTTTCACTTGGAGTTACCATGGAGACAAAGGTATGAATTCGATCTCAAAGTGAAAGATTTGCTTTCAGAATGAATTCTTTTTATCTTAATCCTTGTTATTGGTTATCAATTATCTGTCAAAAAATAGAAAATACAATAATATTTGATTATCATTTTCTCCTAATTTATAAAAATAAATAAAAGGTCTATGTATATATTCGATAAATAGTTTCAATTTACGAAAAGCAAATCTCACCATACCTAGTAAATAAAACAATAGGAAATCCTGCTCATGAATACATTTCGACTATTATCGTGAAATAGATGTACATGTATGTCACGACTCACCTTCTTAGAACAGGGAATGTTGTATACAAAGAACTAGCAAGATTTGCTGTTCTAGTAGTTTCCAAGGTGTATGCTTTTTTTTCTTTTCTTTTCCGAATGCAGCTACACCAAGCGGATGCGTGGCGTTAAACATAGGGGTGTTGTATTTCTTGGTTCAATTTTTCTCAACAATATAATTGTAAAATCGTGTGACGCTTTTTTTATTGGGTGAAAATGATCTAAAAAAACAAACCCGGTGGATTGCTAAAACTCACAAATAAAAGTTCGTGATGTTAATGCAACCACTAGGATTTTGGTTGGGGTCATAGGGGTCATCTTAAACAATAGGGGCGATATTCCACATGTTCCCCTTAACAAGAATTATTGTATAATTACTGAGGTGAATCTAACTGTAAATTTAGTATAAATAAATAAAAAAAAATTAAATGTGGCACGTGCCCTCTTTCCTCCCGTGTAGCCCCCCAGTGGCACAGCGGAATGTCTGCGGACTTTCAACGCTAGAATCCGGGTTTCGATACCCGTGGTGGGCAGAGCACAGATAGCCCATCGTGTAGCTTTGTGCTTAATTACAAACAAACAAACATCTTTCCGTGTAGCGAATCCTACACAAATTTATATGATTGGTTAAGATAATGCCAAATTCATTCACCGAAGAACCATCTTCTATCTTCGGACAAATAGAAAATTGATATAAAATATAAGGAGTGGGTAGAAGAAAGGCGTGATTAATAATTGATATAAAATATAAGGAGTGGCTAGAAGAAGGGCGTGATTAATAATTGATATAAAATATAAGGAGTGGCTAGAAGAAGGGCGTGATTAATAATTGCAGTATTTTCTATTAAAACTAATTAAAACTAATGAAGATAAGACAATTTACATAAATATTTAAAAAAATTTCAAAGGTTTTACAGCTTTGCAACGAATTAAAAATGCACCAGTTACAAGTTTTGAGTGAGGTAATTTTAGGGGAAACTTACTGTGGAAACAGTTAACAAACGTTAGCAATATAGCATTCATACCACCACTCTTATTGTACTCCCACATACCACCTGGTAAGGAAGAGTTCATACCACCACTTTTAATGTACTCCCACATACCATCTGGTAAGGAAGAGTTCATACCACCACTTTTAATGTACTCCCACATACCCTCGTCTTTGTTTTTAACTCACTGAATTAATGCGTAATTTGTAACACACAGTTGTTTATTGTATCCATTTTTATTTTTAGGGCTTGAGAATTGGCCCGAGACTTGCAAGGGGAACAAACAGTCACCAATCAATATCGAGAAAAACAAAGCCCAAACAAATAATAGTTTGGGAAGTATTACATTTGTTAATTACGACAAACCTTTGTATAAACCTTTCTTGGTGAATAATGGGCATTCAGGTAAGGCTTCATCATATGATTCTAGTTTGAAATCTGGTAGAATATATTACAATGTGATAAGATATTGCGTATTAATTAGTTACATGGGATCTTCAGCTTGCTCTGTTCTGTAAAATGCTGTGAACTCTATAAAGTTTGAATATCACGATTTATTCTTGTCATATATATATATATATTTATATTAGCCGTTTTATGGTAAAATACAGATTTGATTATTGAATTAACATAATGTCATATTATCTGACATTCCACGTCCATGCACAAAATAAGTTAGTCGATGAACACAAATTATGTGAAAAGTGTTTTATATATATATATAGAGAGAGAGATTAACATAAAATAAACTTCAGGGGAAAAAAAAGTTCTTATTCTCATGTTCAGTTCAGTTGAATATTGAGGAGAACGAGAATGTTCCGATGATCAAAGATGGAGGTTTGGAGGGAAATTACAAATTCCACAGCTCCATTTTCACTGGGGTAGTCAAGATTCAATAGGATCGGAGCATACCGTGGATAACAAGACCTATTCTATGGAAGTAAGTTACCTCTTCTGTATATCATCATTATTTGATGTTTTACATAATCTGTTTTCTTTCCAGGACTGAGACATTTAATAAGTAACAAGAGGTTTTTCACAGGAAACTATCGGAATATATTGGCTACATGTTCATACTATATCATAACCTAGATTAATTACTTAGCTTACGAGGCCTGGGTGTACACACATACATGCTAATAATTGGTGCGTGATATAATTTTCTCTGCTTATATTGTAAATACAGAACATTCGACCAAATTGTTAATTACCATTTATTTATGTATTTTGATTTGTTTTTTGTGCTATAACAGTTATGATCAGTTGCTTTCTACTCTCTCTTAATTAAACCGAATTAGACTCTACTTAAAGACAAAATTTTTTGATTTATATTTAGTTAAATATTTTGTTTTGGTAAATGCATATATGTATACAAATGTGAATGTCTATATACTAGATCACATTATGTAACAGTGACGTATACAATAACCTATCACTGTAATCTATATGCATGTTTTAAATTTGATTACATAGATGGCGCAAGCATCGAAATAGCTGCATCATTATTTGAACTAGCGCGCGCGCGTGTGTGTAGGGAGGGGAAGGGGGGGGAGAATCTATGCGTCAAATATATGTCTCGCGAATTCTCTATTCCGATTTTTATATTGTTCCATCAGTAAATGAAGTAAAAGCAAAAACTGGGAACAGCGTTGAACGATAGAAGTTTTGTACAGATTCTTTGGTGTCACAAAATGTTCATTAATCCTTCGTTTGCAGCTTGTGTAAATCTGTTTACCACTCCATGCGTAAAGATTCGCGAATTTTTGCGGCGGGCCATTCAAAAATGTTGCCACAAAATGCTTGCATCATATGATGTCAACCGCAGTTGAAGGGTTAAAGGACGATAAAAACACAAAACTTGTTATCCTGTGCAAGAGATCTTTTACAAAATGGACCATAATTTGGTATGATTAAAACCCCTATTTTAAATATGTTTGATTCAATCAATGCGTAGTTATCATTAGACTCCCCCCTCCCCCTCTATCTACAAGAGCTCATGTTCACAGTATCTTCTCGTGGATACTCATGTATTATAATATCTCTTCTTCTTCATCGGGATTCGGTCCCTGTTTTGGATCAGGTTCAGCGTTAATTTTTTCCTCCCTCTCAGGAATTGTTATTTTGTTTACACTCTTACTGAATCCTAGGTAATAACCCTTGAATTTTAAATAACATACCCTTTTTCGTGCCATGTCCAATTCATGGGGTAATATTAATTTGTATATTTTGACTAGCTTCACTTATGTATGGTCGCACTCTTAGTACACATCTGTTATAATAATAGACAGTTTTTGTCAGTCCCGAAAATGCACGTGCACCTTAGTATCTAAATACGCATGCGCACGCACTTTTTTCAACGGATGTAAATATACTTTAGTTGTCATTTTGTACAATAACATATTAAAAGCTTATCATAGTTTTTAAAAGTATCTAACTTAGGTCGTACAATAAGTTTATAAGTTCATTTATTGATAGGATTAAGTACGGTAAGATTTTGCCCTAACTTTTTTTACTAAAGCAAAAAACGTACACAAGTTATAGAGTCAACTTATCTCTCTTGAATAGAAGGCCATACGTAATAAAGGCTTAAATAATTTTAGGCCTAAGACAAGTGGACTTACAGATTATCCGTGTCTGCGATTAGAATTATTTTGTATTATTCTAGAAATCTTGTATTTAAAGAAGTACTGTTGAAATAAAGACACAACTTTGACCGCAACTGTTATTTTCCAGTAATACTAATATGAGCTGTTGTTTTTTAGATGCATCTTGTCCATTACAACTCCAAGTATTGTTCGGACGAGGCTAGTAAATATCCAGATGGCCTTGCTGTTGTGGCTGTACTATTTATTGTAAGTTATTACACCTACTTCAGCTATCTGTCTAGAGTAATATATCCGTGGGAAAAAAAAAGCCAGCACCCTATCCCTGTCTTTAACTAAAAGTCAGTTGACTCTTTATGGATATGTGTGTGTGTATATACAGGGTGCCCCAAAAAATGTACACACACATTTCGAATGCTCATATGACTATAGCAAATGAACCTAAATTCCAGCAAAATATCATTATTGAATATTTCATTCAACATTTTAACTGTACGTACACTGCTGCATCATTTGAGCTGCTCAAACTGGGCTCCATCACCATTCAAACAATCACGACAACTACGACGGAGTGCCTGACTTGCTGTTACACAATTCTCAACTCTGATTCGACGGAAAGCATTTGTGATCTGTTGCTATAATTCGGCAATGGTTTTGGTTTCATTTTTAGACATTCTCCAATATGATATGAAATCAAAATATTTAGAATCGATATACAGACGTTGCATAACTTAAAGGATTGGTAAATTTTTTGGGCCATCCTGTATTTATATCCATACACAGACTAAATGTATAGATCTCAAGTATTATCACAATTATTAACGACTTTACATGAGAGTATTCGCCGGTACGAAGAGTAGAAAGTCATTTGACAACTAACGATAGCCTAGCTTATTTGATGAATGATATTTACTTGCTTAGCTGCACGAGGAGTTATTCGGACATAACCGTTTTTAATATTAAACTGATAGACTAGAGGAAAGGCAGCTAATCAGAAGCACTCATCTCCAATTTTTTGGCTGTTCTTGTCTGATTCAACATTGGAATATGACCGTCACTCTTGTAGCACACCCACGTGGCCAAATCGCGGAGCGTGTTTTTGCGGCAACAGGTCGCGAGCCGTAAACCCTCAGAGTCATTGTTCGAACACGCTAGCCACTAAGCCTCTCATAGAAATCGTGTAATAAAAAATAAATTATGAGTAAGTAGAAATAATGCTAATTCGAAATGGTGTTATGAAGTTTTTTTTTTAACAGCAGTCGCAGGTTGAACATTCACGCCCTTTCAGCCGTGGGGCGCTAAGATGTGACAATTAATCCCATTTTTATTGATAAAAGAGTATCCTTTCGTTGGTCGGAGAGTAGGCCAAGAGTTGGCGGTGGGTGATGTTGACTAGCCGCAAACTCTCTAGTCTATCACTTGTAAATTAGTGACGGCTAATTCAGCCCTCGAGGAGCTTTGCGCG